TTACCATCCACGCTACCATCCACGCTACCATCCACGCTACCATCCACGCTACCATCCACGCTACCATCCACGCTACCATCCACGCTACCACATCCACATTACCATACCATCTATATTATCATCCACATGGATGGTCTAATATTCTAAGGAATTTGTGACTTTTTGCGTATTACTCGATTGACCAGAGCGCTAGCTGTTTTGAACTACAAGGATTAGGAAGTGAGGGGTAAAAGGGCTCGGTTTGGCTGTCAATATCTATATAGAAGGCTCAAACTCACCGACTCTATACATCTCGTTGACGATCTTGAAATCAAAATCATCTAATAAACGCTCTACTTTGGAATTTTTCCAGTACGTTACTCATAATATTTATGGAGCGTTTTTAATTTATGATTTCATCAGACTTCTCGCTGAATCTGTACGACACCCAGAGTAAGAACGAGTTTTGAACTGACCTTTAGATTGACCATAAACGAAGATATGAGTGCTCCCTCGACCCCACCGATGCCAAATAGCCCAACAGTTCCCCCGAATTCTCAAACTGTATGATGCCCGACTTCCAGAGTGCAGGTATGAGTTTTGGGCTGACCTCAATATCTAGTAATCGAAGAATAAGTCTCCGCCATACCGACTACAACAGCCCAGCCCTCCGCCTTTGCCAAATAGCCCAAGAATGCTTACGTCTCCGCTAAAGGCCCTCCTGCACTATGATACAATGGCAGAGCGCCGATGGCGATGAAACTATCCGGCGTGATGACTCTACTGTTAGTAAATCCCGATATTGGAGTGTGTGGTCACTGTTGGACTTTTGTGGGACAAAGAGGTTCGAACAGACTAGTTAATTACGTTCAATAATGAATATTGGTCACGTGAACATTTGAGGAAGTCAATCCTTCACAACCTATAGTGCGCACAACAATTGCGAGCAATCGTACGCCATAGGCTAGTTTGAAGGCTAGTCGCAGCCAAGGCTTGGGTAGGCAGATCGAATTGCTCTGATATCTCGAGAAGCCCTCCCACAAGGCAATAAAATACCCGAATTGATGCTTTGATGCTTTGGTCCTTGCTGCAATATCAATTTGGACACCAAGTGGCGGTACCTGAAGGTGGTTAATCAAAAAAAAACATCGTATGTACAAGATCGGAAGTCACTCTTCACTATCAGCTTTGGGTACGAGTTTCAGCGCTGCCGTACATATTCGAGAACATTTAATCATGTTGTTTTCGGAGGAAGGAGCAGTTAAATTAATTCTTCTGGGAGTGAATATGAGGCTGTATGTACAGCGGCAAGACCAAAACAATTTGGTTCTTCAACTGGGCAAATCAGAAATCACATTCGACGGCGTGGCTTTGTTCCTGATCTGTGCTAGCATCATCTTATAACAATCACTACTAGTAGCTGACTCTTTACAGTCTCAGTGTCCCAGCTATATACACTGCTATTTGACAAGATTTCAGGGAACCATTATGCAGCGCTCTTAGTGTTATTCGACAAGCCTTGCAACGCACCTTCTAGCCTTGACCTCAAAACTCCACATAATTGAGGCAACCCGTGATGACTCTCGCATTGCCTGTGGTGAATTTCTCATGTCGTGCTATGACAACTGTGATGTTTGGCTACAAGCAGCCTGCAGGACGTCCTTTTACCGCCTGCACATGGAAGATGTGTTCAATATTAACGTGTCACAAACTGAACAGACACGGAAATTATGGCGGAGTTCCCCTGCCGAGAGACGACGATCTTCAGTAACATCTTCAGTGATTGATTGGTATGAAACAGAAGAAGGGCTCCGAGGGCCTGCCCCAGGCTTATGGCTTATGGTCAGCTAGAGTAGAGGTGGTGATTGACATCGATACGGAAGAGCCGGCTTACGATCTTGATCCACAATACGTGATTGGTCACAATGGTGAACTTCGTTGGTTTTCGGGAAGTGGTGCCCTGTAATTCCCGAACAGTCATTTTCTGGATGTATGTATCAACATTGATTTAGCCTAGTGCAGACAATATCACACACCACTGCTATAATATAAAACCCCTCAACTTTTGTTGACTCATAGTATTGTTACGTAGGGACAAGTCTTGAACATGTTCATTCTGGACGATGTACATTTCCGAATGCCTCCAATGAAAAGATCTGGCCAGCGAAAGTTACAAATTTTTATATAGATCAACGTTCAATCAGAGAGCATGGTGATTCATTATATAAAATATGTTCTACAAACTCGGGTTTGAGGCTAATATTGATGAATCCTTCTGGGTGATTGAGGTGTTTGAGTGATACATTTGAATTTCATATTGTAGGCCATTGAGATAGCGACAGGACGGTGGAAAGTCTAACAGCCTCAGATCCTTTGGGCATGCTTAGACGCTCAAAATGCTGTTTCAGCTATTTTATTTCTCCAAATCTGGGACATTAAAGAAAACCACCTGCACAGTCGTATCATCTCGTAGACGCCGGGAGGATGGATAGCTGAAGGCAAGTCGGCCTGATATCAACTCGTGATGGTTTCCACCTAGTGAATTACGCACCAGATGGACAGCGACATTGTCATCTTGGACTGTTGTTCTCCCCTCCACGAACTTCCAGCTGACTCCTCTCCAGAATTGGCCGAAGTCGAAGGGCTCATATGTTGGCTGCACTTTGCTGTTCCTCTCCTCAGTTGCTTCCGACTCCAACCATTTCCCTGTTAGATCGACTGCCTGCTGACTGGAGAGCATATCCCACAAGCCGTCTGTTGCCATGATCAGGAAAGAAGGTTTCCCAGGGTCGATCTTGATGCTTGTCACGACTGGTTCAGCCGTCAGATAGGGTGGCGTTCGAATATCGTATGTTGGCACCAGTGGCGGAGGACCATAAAATTTCCGTTGCACATCCTTCTGGAATTCAATAGGCCACTTCCACTGGGCACCACCAAAGGCTCGTGAAACCGCAATCCCTAGAACCCGTCCATTTTTGACCATGTCTTCTTCACCGGGGTGTTCTTTGCGAAGCCTGGCAATCTCTTCTTTGTTTTTGCCAGTCTGGTCTACTGTCAATGGCATTGCTTCCCACCTGCCGTCTGGCCTTTGCTGTCCCAAAACCGCCCTCGAATCGCCCGTACACGCCACATGCAATCTGCCTGTGCTAGAATCGTACATGGAGAGCAAAGCGCATGAGCCGGAATAAGCGGGGGTTAGTTTTTTCACTTTCTGTTGCAACGATTCTTCGCTCTGAGATGTACCCAGAGCTGTTTTGACAATGGAATCATCGAGGTTCATAAACCCCTTTATAATAGCGCGCTGCACCAGCTCCTCTGGTACGAGATTTTCGGTTGAGGTTGGCTTTAATTGACTCAAGCTGTATCGGACGAAAGGCAGGAGTTGCTTCTTTAGCAATTCTGATGTTTGCATGCCTGAATGACCATCAAAGACACCCCAGGCCATCCATTGGCTGCCTCCTCTCCATGGTGAGGGAAGTTTACCATGGATGAACTGGTCCTCGCACGGGCTATTGGAAGCTAACTGAGCACCATCATATCTGCTGACGCCGGCAACGTTTCTGACCGCATATGAATATGCCTCTTGTGATATGATACGCGTCACTTGGTCTTTAGAAGGACCTGGCTCAACGCTCCAGTGCTCAGCCGGAGGATTTTCAAAATGTGGCGCATCGTCGCGAGTCGCATCGTCGCGCGTATTTACCAACCACCAAAGTCCTGGTGTACCCACCGCACCGGCAACCATTATATATCTCGTCAAGTTCGAGAATAAGCCTAAGCCTGGGTCAGAGCCCTTGGTTGAATATGAATTCTTGGCCCGCGTCCGTAGGCTTGGTGTTGTGGTCACGCGTAGTCGCGTTCGAGCTGCGCCCAATGACATTGTGGGTAGGGATCAACTGAAGGGAGGAGGAGAGAAGGAATGAGGAAGGGTTTGGAAAAGCAATGTATAAGGCGTGTTTGATACTTCGTTTTCCCATCAGTGATTATGGGAGAAATTGAGAGCTTAGGATGGCGGCCCCTTGCCCATGGGAGTAACTTACTAGTTACGATAAGGTAGATTATAGTTGAGTCAGCATTCATTTGTAACTTACTACGGGGCCAAAAAGGCGGTGAGCTGGCCATCCACCAGACCGTTTTTGCCGACTGGATACCGGACGAATAACTTGATCTAGCTACGCAGTCATGTGATGACGCAGCCCAAGCATTGCCCGCCCGATGGCAACTCAGTTTCCCCTACCAGACCTACCAAGGATATGAAGCCTATCTTCAAAATATACTATATAAATGCTTACATACAGCAGTTATTCGTCACATTTGTCCTTCTCACTGCTCCAACGGAGCCCACATAAAGTATTCTCGTGATGTCGCGAACCAACACGATCCTTGATCTCCCTACCGAAATACTACTAATGATAGCTTATTATCTCGATGCGCCCAGTAGCATCTGGCTGCGAAATTCGTGTCAGATTCTCCGCAGATCAATACAGCCTCCTACCCATGCGAAATTGATAGAATGGGAAACCGCTGGGTTCGGACTTCAGAACGACTTGTACGCTTGTCGGGAGTGTCTTAAACTGCGACCAAAGGCAGAATTCGGAGATAAGATGACAAAGAAGGAAAAGGAAAAATGGGGATTCGATATGATGAATCGCTGGTGCGTGTAATGTAGTATCAAACTGCTCCCAGGCACCAATCAATAAACGGCCGGTAACCACATTCAAATATCGGGGGAAGATTATGTTATCTGCCTTCGATGTCGAGATTTCGGGGCAGGAGCTTCAGAAGACGGCAAGCCATTGTCGGTTTGCCAAGACTGTCAGCATGTTACGAAGACAATAGAGGAACGTAGAGCCGGCCGAGCACGGCAAAAACGGGATCGGTTGCGCGCTGAACAGGCTGAGCGGAGAGCCAGAAGACGTACGATCTATGGTTCCAATTCCGACGGTGGTGACATTGTGCCACCTAGTCCTACTTTCAGTGAGGAGCAGATGGATATAATCCAACTTGAAGCCAACAGCCCTGGGGCTGGGTCTGACTGAACTACGGGTGGATGGGAGAATGGATGGATACATGATTAGTTTAAACCGACCGGGCGAATGATGAGATCTTACGTACTGTACTGCATGGCAACTTGCTGGAAAGTGTATGTACTGTAATATTGATGATCTACCAAATGTACATTTGACCAAAAGGTGGCGGGCCAGGTCCGACCAAATTCGGTTTAGCGCGATCGCGGCGGGCGCTGAGAGAAAGCGCGTGTCTGAGGGGTAATCTGATTTCGAATTCTACTGTACAGTACTCGCTTTCTTGCACTTTCTCTAAGTTTATCTGTTTACAAGTCCCCTGTCGCACGGACTGATACTCTCCAGCTTGGATGACATCCAGCCGGCCCTTACAACCGCCGCCATTCCTCTTTCTTCCACTGCCTTGAAGTCGTTCCAGCTGGTCATGTGGAATCTATCCTGGTTAAGAAAGGCCACAGTTAGATCACATGCCGACCCCTCCGCTCCAAGAAACAAGAATAATTGCAACAATGTCAAATTGGAGGCTTTCGGGATACATTCCAAATCGTACCTCTTGTGGCCGTGCGCTATTGTCCGTTGACTTAGTACTTGCCTCTGAATCGGTCTCAATCAGCCTGCCCACTTAGCAGAGTGCATTGGCCATGAACAATGTCAAAATGCTTAACTCTGCAGGGATTGGGCAGCCGTTTTGTCTACATAGTTTCGACTGGTGGTCCCTCTGGAAGAGGTGGTATTTGATTCAATGATGTCAAATCTATAGAGCCATGGCTCAAAGGATAAGATACCTCGGCTCGCAGGTGTAGAGTCTGAGTAGAGTTGTGCTGTATGCCAGCGGCGGAGAAAATGCCGGTAGATTGTCCTCTTTTCGAGATGGCCGACTTCCCCGGAAGGATTCGGTCGAGGTATTTCGCTGGCAGGGGAGAGTTTAGGTTGGCTAAAGTGGAACCACTCAGAAAGCGTGTTAAGAAATTCCATGGGGTCTCAAGCTATAAATCATACATTGCCTTTTTGATGGAGACATAAAACTTGGGAATTTACAAGATCTCAGTCGAAGCAGCAGGGTAGGACTGTGGTCTGTGGCGCGGCACACCTACGGTCACATTTCTCACCACACCCTGGTCAAACAGGTGACACGCTAGGAGCCGCATGAGTTCAGCATCTCGGTCGAGGGGGCAATGCGCTATAAAGTCGCATTTCTCATAGCACCCTCGTCGGTGAGGCGGCACATTGACCGTCGTGCTTGGTGAAGAGTGATTCCTGATCACGTACAATATATGTTGATTATCTACCTTCAGGTACCGCCACTTTGTGTCCACATTGATAGCGCGGCAATGAACAATGCACCAAGCATCAAGTCATCAATTCATATGTTCGATTGTTTTGTGGGAGGACTTCTCGAGGTATTAAAGCAATTCAATCTGCCTATCCAAGCCTTGACTGCGACCAGCCTTCAAATTGGCATATGGCGTACGACTGCTCGCAATTTTTGTGCGCACTATAGGTTGTGAAGTATTGACTTAAAGGTCCACTCGGCCAATATCCATTACTCAAGGTAATTTACTAGTCTTGTTCGAACCTCTTTATCCAAAAAAAGTCCAACAGTGACCACACACTCCAATATCGGAATTAATCTAACACTAGGAGTCACCACGCGGGATAGTTTCATCGCCATCGATGCTCTGCCATTGTATCATAGTGCAGGGGGCCTGTAGCCGAGACGTAAGCATTCTTGGGGGGGGGGGGCTATTTGGCAAAGGCGGAGGGCTGGGCTGTTGCAGTGGGTATGGCGGAGCACTCATTCTTCAATTACTAGGCATTTAATGTCAGTTCAAAACTCATATCTGCACTCGGAAAGTCGGGCGTCGTACAGATTGAGGAGTCGGGGGAATTGGCGGGCTATTTGGTAAAGGCGGAGGGGGGGTCTGTGGTCCGTATGGTGGAGTATCGGGAGCACTCATATTTTCGATTACTGGCCATGTCAAAGGTCAGTGTCAGACTCATTTTTGCAGACTAAAAGCTGGGTGACGTACAGGTTGAGCGAGAAGTTTCTGTTCAAATTGTAAATCAAATCCGCTTCATGAATATTATAATAGACTTACTTCAAAAGCACTAAGGTGGAAAGGTTTAGTGGGCGATTTTGATTCTAAGATCGTTGTTGAAATCTATAGCTTGGGGGAATTTAAGCCCGCTTTATAGATATCGACAGGGGCCCGACCGCTTTTACTCCTCACTTTCTAATCCTAGTAGTTCACAAAACTGAAGTGTGCTGTCCGCATACTGTACTGATCGACTTGCATCTGTGCCCGGTTCTTGGCGGTGTTTTCGGCGTGACGAGGGCGATTTGCGTTCAACAATGAGTGGTCATCACCCCGACGCTCAAGTAGTCTTTTCTAAAGGCAATTATTGGGAGATCAAAGTTATTCGAAATACAGATTTTTTGGAGTCACAGCAAAGGATCGGAGCTTCGCCCTGCAGCAGCCAGCTATTTGGGGGTAGGGCCACTCTGAGAGGCGACGAACTTCCCAGGAACAGTTTTGTCGTGAACTGGTAGCCGTGTACTAATTTTATGTAGGTGGAGATGTATATTGGGCCACCGAGAGCCAACCAAGCTATCTGTCACAGATCACGTGCAGAATCCTATATATACTGTTCACCCTACCATCCACATTGCCATCCACTTTACCATCCACTTTACCATCCACTTTACCATCCACATTACCATCCACATTACCATCCACGCTACCACATCCACGCTACCATCCAAGCTTCCATTCCAACTCTCATTCGTACAGCCAACGACTTAATATGCCCCGACGTGTCCGGAACCAGAAGCCGCTTAGTGTACACGAGGCTTTGCAGAAAATCAGAGATTGCTACCACCGCCTCAAACGAATCGCGCGAATTGACAAGTCTCAATCTCAGCAAATACAAGATGCTATCAAAATTCTTGACGAGTTGCAAGAATCCACCAAACGCCAGAGATACAAGCTGTTCCTGGAGAGTTTGCTTGAGCATAATGAGCATGATGAGGATGACGATGGCGCCGCCGGTCCTGTCCTTGTCATGCTGTGTGCTATAGCTTTAGGCCAAGCGAGGATCGCACATATGAACAAACTCACCCGTTCTACGCTCCACTCTCAGATCAAGGATCTCTCCAAAGAGTTTGACAGTCCGTTATTACGATCACTAGCTTCCGCTGAAGGGCTTTCTTCTAGGAATGGTACGCTACTCTCGAGAAAAACAAGGATGGAGCTGACGTGGCAGATCCGAATTTTCCACATGAAATCGTTGACCAGGTACCTGAAAAACAGCACGATGACGAACTGGAACAAGCACAAATAATGGACAACGGAAGGCGTGAGTTTCAAGTCTTTATTGGTACAGGCGCTATCTTACCAACGCATCCCTAGAAATTCGATATATGTTGACAGGAGCTCCAACAAGTCACATATCCCTCTTGAGCTCGCTGGTTCCAGATGCCGTGCAAACTAGTCGTCTGTGGATGACAGAGAGACAGGCAGGCGAGCCTAGAACCGGATGCGTGACGACAATGATCCCTCGGGATGAGAATGCAGATATCTCTATCACCTTGTGGGTTGGACAACAGGCAGGAATGCAATTGTCAAATCTCATGAATCTGCAACCTACTTGGTCATCTTAACACAGGCGTCAAAGCAACATGAGCGCCAATCACTTTGACCCTGTGCTTAGGAGGGACCAAAATTTTGGCATTCTCCTTAACATCGTCGTATGGAATTGTTTTTTTTGGATCCGACGGATGAATAATCATGATCAGTTTCCCACGGCCTTCCAACCATCGCTCTTCGTCACTGGCTTCAAAAATGTGGGCGACTATAGACTCCTCTTTTCCACCGAGGGCATCGCTCCCAACGTGTATTTTGCTGGGATTCGACATCTGAACAATAAACAGAACTGTTATCGTGTTAATGCAATTTTAATTGTGGCGAAATCGGACTACCAGGAGGTAAAACTGACAGCCCTATTTATAGCCAAATTTTTGAGATAAGGCACACCTCACTTCTGTCAAGCTGCGAATAAATGTTGTCAGCACACCAAAGAAAGCCGCGAGTATGTGTGCCTACTTTTGTTGATCGCAAGCTGCGCAAAGATGTTCGCGAGTTTGAATTCTGCACACGGGCTTCAGAGTGAGGATTTTTGGAGTGCTGTTTCAGATCAAAGCCGATATTTTGAAGGCCGTGAGTTATAACACAAGGAGAGCCTAAGCAAGTCGGGTAGCCTGCAACAGTGCCCGACGATTTGAAGAAGTGGGATGTATGCCGAGGGGCAAATTCAAAGACAGAAGGAATTAGGCAATTTTGGCCCGGAATAACCTATCGCCGAAAGCAGTCTGACAAAATTAACTTGGATTATCTCATGACCCATAGAGGCTTCACTCTGCTAGTCAATGGCTTCACTATGGAATGAATCTAATATTTATTCGGCAGCCATAACTTGAAGTTCGTGGAGCGAGATGTAAGTTTGGCATATCACAAAGTTGAGCGCCTGTCAAGAAAATCCGAAACCTTCACTGCGGTGCAATATAATGGCAGTGTGGAGCAATATGGGGCAGTGTGGATGGCAATATGGATGGTAAAGTGGATGGTAAAGTGGATGGTAAAGTGGATGGTAAAGTGGATGGCCAGTGTTGTTTCAATCACCCGTTGCAAAATACTGCCTTGCGATATCAGAATAGGTCAAATAATGCACAGCTTTCCGTGGACAAATAATGATTAAGGTTTTAAGATAAAAAGAGTGAGCATCCGTTTAAATGCTTTTGGTTTTTCCATCGCACTTTACCCAACCCCTGACCATATATCAAATATGAAGCCCGCAAAAAAGCACGACGTAACACAGTGCCCACAGACAAAAGGAAAGATAGACCTTCATTTTGTCAAAAAAAAATTGCCACCTGTCTTCATGTTTGGTCTTTTGACGATCATTCTATTGTCAAGTGAGAAAAGAAGAAAAGCCAAGTCAATAATCATGCAATCTTCAATTCTGGTGTGTTCATGTACACTACAGGAAATATTGTGCTAGACACAAGCATATGTCAGGTAGACCTGCAACATTAGATCGTCAATTAAAAGCAAGGTATATCAGGTATCCAGCCATAAGAAAGACAACTAAAGGTGGAATTACTCAGCAGATCAGATAGCTTACCTTCAGCCTCATTGATACAATCGCGGTATCTAGTCTGCCTTGTATCATAACAGAAGGCAGACACATTGTTGACGAAGTTCCTTGACCTCCATAATCAACATTTGGACCCAAGTGCCTAAAAGACATTGTGGCAAACGTCCAATCAGAATTTGGTGGTCGAGACCGAGTCCATGCCGTCGATCAGCCGTTGCTGTGGCTTGGATCACACCCAGCGTCGAAGGCTGGACAAGCTAGAGACCCAACTCAATGTAGACCCATTCGCATTCTTCGAATGGATCGATGGTGGGCTAGGCAAATTCATCGAGCTCAAGTGTGATTAAGCGTTTTCTATGGCCAATACACGGGCTGGGGGCCAGGTGTTGATTCCTGGGAGCATAGCCCAGGTCGTACTAGAAAAATGGTCCCATTATCTCTCTTATGACATATTGAACAACTTATCCACTCATATTGTGGCCGATATGGCGCGAACATTACTCGATGATGGAGACCTGATCGCAGCAGTGTAGTACTTTTGTTACTCGGTGTAGGCAACAGGCGGGCTTTCTCCCGGGCAAAGTGGTGGCGTAGCCCCTGGGTGTGTGAGCCCTCATCAAAGGGTTAGGATCTGGATCATACTAACCACGTAGAATTTGCCCTCTTTCGCAAACCAAGTAAACCCTTGCTTAAACTGCTGCACGCAATTTTTTATTTTCTAAGAGCTTCCTTATAGCGTTCATAAAACGCGCTTCTCTTCCGAGGCTTCCTGCTCAACTATCGTCCCCTAAGAAAAGCGCCCCGTTGCTACTACTCAATTCGAGCCACTACAAGCCTTTCCCTACCGGCTTGTTATACGTAAGACATCTGCCAAGAATCAAACAAAGTGATTTTCTCTGAACAGCTCGATCCCGCCAACGCAATGTTCTAAGCATACAAATTTTACAAAGCGGATCCTTTCTGGGGAGAACACGCAATTTGGGCACGGGAAGATCGAGTTCAGATGTACATCGGAGAGAGAGCTCTATGAGATGGTTCATAAGCGCGCAGATAAGCATTCTGCTCAACAACAATACAGCCATTTGTGTGAAATGCGCCGTGTACAGGTCGACCGATTGATCGAAGATCAACGATTTCCACTACCCGGTCGAGTGTTGGCCGGGTCTTGATCTGCTTCCATGGGTTCATCTGTCGGACTACTTCTTCGCCGATTCTCGCCCAGTCCGCGCGCTCGTACGCCTTCCTAGCTTTTGTGCTTGGCTTGGTCTGAGGTTGTAGGCTCCATTCCGAGTAGGTGGCACGGTGGTCTGATCCGTAGTTCTCGTGATACAAATGGCACTTGACAAGCAGGTCTGGGCTGTCTGTCACTGTCTGGTCGATGGTCGAGTTCTGTCCTGGATTAGTTAGAGCCCAGTAAGTCGCCGTTCCCCGAGGGAGGCAACTGGAGAGATTGTAATTTTGGAAGAAGGTGATCAGGTCGCTGGCGTCTTCAATAAATCTGGGTGGGATATGATTGCCGCCCACATCGGATGATATCGGTTGAAGTCGCCCGTGATAATGATGCTTGTAGAGCGTTGCTCGTTCTGTACAGCGGCTGTGATGGTGTTTTCTATTGCAGTGAGCACCGGCATTGCTGACGCATCGTTAGTCGTAAAGAGTGGTACTGGTGGTATGTAGACAGAAAAGAAAAGAGTTTGAGAATCGGCTGTCCAGATCTTGATGGCTGCTACATCTTGGTGGTTGCAAGGTATCTGACGGTGTGATGAGGTGGAGATTCGTCTGCTCACGTAGATGAGACTGCGGAACCAAACTGCATCGGTCTGTGTGGTGGGCCGATATAGTCGCCAGGCGCTGTGATTGACATGTGTGCGGTAGGTTGTGATCGATGGCTCCTGGATCAAAAGGATATCCAGGTCTTGGCTTTGGTGGTCATTGATGAGTGCTTCCATTCTTGGTCCTGATTTCATAATATTCAGCTGAAGGATGCGCAGGTTGCTCTCTAACATTGGCTGGGGTGAGAGGTTGCGGGGGTTAGACATCGTCGATCTCCGGTAGCGTGCTCACCCCCACAGTCGAGGCAACGGGCCCTGATCCCTGGTGGGCAGCGCTGCCGCTCGTGTTGACCTGCACAGTGTCCGCACCGCGGGGTTTCCTTGCATGACCATGCCAGGTGTCCAAACCGTTGACACCGGAAACATCTCTTTTTCTTGATCTCGCATCGCTCTACCTGAGGGATGTAGTGTTGACTGACGACGAAACCGCTGCGGAGCATATGTTCTGCTCCTTCTGTGGAGTCAAACCAGATTCCTAGCGATGCGAATTTCCCTAGGGCCTTGTCTTTCGATTTCATCCAGGCCAGTTCCTCGATGTGGAAACCGTGTTCTGCCAGGTCGTTCTCATGGATGATTTTTTCCGCTGCCTGGGCGGTGCCAGTTTCCAAGTCGAATTCGTTGGTTGGAGTGCGGTGCACTACAATGCCGAACCGTGGTTTAACCAGTTTCGTGTTGTTGCCTAATTTATGTAGCCACTCAGTATTGTTGCGAGCTACCTGAGCCGACTCCACGTTCTTGAATCGAATGAGATAGCCTGTTCTGGTGGTGCCAATTCCTACCACTTGGGCGTCTTGTGTTGCAGCGTCGCTCTGCAATGCTGTGCGGATGTGGGTGTTGGCGGTATCTGTGGGGAGATATCGCCCAAAAGCGTTTCCGTCGTTGTTGTCATTGTCTCTGGGGTCTACAAAGGCTCTCTGGATGCTGATTCGGACGCAATTTTGCTCTTTCTCGGGTTTCTGGTGGCTCAGCGAGGGTGTGGCATTATTGCCAGTGGCTGCGACTGCTGCCCAAGTCCTAGTCGCGGTGGCTGCAGGGGCGCTTTCCACTTGTACTCGTAACGCTTTCACATCCTCATGGAGCTTCTCGTTCTGTTCTTGCAGGACATGTTGATTGTGCTTAACCTCCTGTAGCTCGTTCTGAGTGGATTCGATGACCGCAGTTTGATGGCGGATAATGTCTTTCAGGGTTCCGATGAGTTTCCACACCTCCTTGGTGGTGACTCGACCCGAATTTTCCGATGGTGCAAACGCATCACCGCTCCGTGCTCGCTTACGGCTTTCGGTGGGCGATTCTGGGGATCCGATGTTTACTCTGGGCTGGAAATCTTCCACGAGAAGCTGGTGGGGGTTTCTTGGGTGTTTGTGGGAGGGGGTTCGGGCCCTCCCGTAGGTGGGTCCATCGTCGGTCCGGAATTAGTTCCCGCTCGGCACACAATCGCAGCTGAATATGTATATCGAGGGTAATATCAACCACTTTCAGTCACTGGGTGATGCAGACTCCGCTAGGTACCGCCCTTGTACTGCTACATATAATAAAAGGGCTTTATAACAGATAAGTATAACGTTGACGTTTAAAATTTAAGAGAATTCTTATTAATTTCACACTAGGTTCGGGGGGCATTTGACTCAGCGAAGAAACGAGGGCGGATCTACGATTTGAGGGCGGCCCGCATAAGTCGAGGGCTGATTCGAGGGCCGCCCTCAATCAGGGTAGGATACCCATAATAAATAGGTCTTAATGTAACGCATAAAATTGATAGAGGGAGCAGGCCCAATTTGAAAGGAGCTTAAATATGTTTGTTAGCACAGGTGGACTTTTTAGCACGAAGTAGGTCTCATCCAACCCTCCAAGTCTTATCTATCTTCTAGATCCACGCAATACGAAGGATCACTTAGTTAACAATGTTCCAGTTATCTCTATTCTCAGATGCATATTCATCATCTCTTTACGAAGGGGATACAATTGACGGTCTCTCCTTTCCGAACGACCAATTCCTTACTTCTGATCTTTCAGGAAGCCAGCAAACAAGTGAATCAGTATCAAATCCCAGGTTTCTTACGCCAATTCCTCTCCCTTCGGTTCCTCTTTCACTCGAGCGTACTGGTCCTGGTTGATCCATTAAATTCGTTCTATACTCTGATATGTCAAAGGATGAAATTGTCGCTTGGTGGTTAGAAACCGAGTTTGGACGCAAAAAACGGCTTCATTGGAGTGGTAACCGTACAGCAACTTGCTGGCAGCACTTTGATGAAGTTGCCAATGCAAAGACTGGAAAACCAGGCGCGAAATGCCGTCAATGCCATAAAGTCCTAGACCATCTGGCGAATAGGCGATATGGAACGACTGCACTTCATCGGCATTTAGCTGGGCCGACCTGTCGTAAATTTACTAGCCAAAGGACCAATATTAAGGGTTTGCTTATGAATGCGGTATGTTTAAACCAGGGTTTCCGG